AGTGGGTGGGAACAGGGACACGTAAGTGGATGTCCAGAGCCTCACAGAGCAGTCTTAGCATGGGCAAGGAAGGGTACATGGATGAGGCTGGGGCCAGACCTGCTTTAGGAAAGACAGTGGAGGAGGGCTGCACTGCTGGGCTGAGGGGCTGCCTAGCTGTTCAGGAGCAACAGTCACTCCTTCCGCTCTCAGCCTCCCTGCCCTGCCCTTGCCTGGCAGCTGGCTACACTGTGGGGTGGGGAACGACTCAGCTCCTACCTTCTGACCTCAGTTTTCTCCTTTCTGGGGATGAAGGGCAGAAGATGCAGGTCTGGGAGTGAGGCCAAGATGCCTGATCCCCGGACAGGCTCAGGATGCATATACGTTTACATGTTTCCAGGAGTTTCTGTATACCATGAGCCCACGTGTTAACAGGCCCTGGTGTGTTTACATGGCTCTACAAATAGCTACTCCAAACTCCTCTCAGTACAGGGATCGATTCAGGATCAGGACACAAGGAGCCATATATTAGTGAGCTAACAAGCATATTCCCACCTGTAGGACAGGAGCCTAGCCTGCCCACCTGAGGGCTGACTGATTAAAGACATGTCCCAGTCACATAGCACTGGCCCCCGGAGACAGAGAGGAGGAACATAGGGGCTAGCGTGTAATAGGGCCATGTTTCTTTAATCTTAACATACATTTTAGAAAGAAATCTGAAATGCGTCACTATCTGCTAGGCACAGCCTGTGAGTACATGAGCATCTCTGGCACGAACAGCTTTCAAATATCACTGGACATGACCAGAGACCAAGGTCACAATAAAAAGAGGTTTGTGTAAGAGCACGCAAATACACTCCAGCCTCATCCCCATATCTACATTCTCTCACAGACCTCCCCTCCCCCCGCCCTGAAAAAAAAACCCTCCATATGAATATCATGCGTGCACTTTGCTTTTACCATGGCTACCTGGGGGTTACCATTCATTTACTCTAGACTAATGATATTAGCTTTTACCTACCCACTTGCTGTCTATCATACTGATTTCCTAAGTTTCCAAAGGCCTGGGGAGAACTTAATTGGATGATTCTCATCTGTGGTGATTGCCTGGAATTGCTCATAACAAAATGACTACTAAGGCCATCATATACCGCCTGTCACTCACAGCTTGGTGTTAAGCATTTCCTGAACACTTCATCAAAATGTTCCAGGAGCCCAGGTGCTGGGTGTGGCATCACCCTATTCCTGAAATTACAATCCAGACCAGCGGTGTCTGTACCTTCTTAGGGCCATCATACAGAGAACCAGCATGGGCTGGTATTTAGCTCAGGCCTATCATGGGGACAGTCAGTCCTTCCTCAGCACTAACTTAACCATGACCCAGAGCTACACCGTAAACACAGGACTACGTAACATGGAAGGAAGGTGACCCATGGATGCATGGCCCAGAGTGGTAACAAGAACCCTGAGTTGGGAATCAATGTAAGGGTCTGAGTCTAAAACTGCTTTTGAGAGGTCTTTGGAAGAATGATTTCACCTCTTCTGACCCCAACATCTTTAAACTGTAAAGCTCGGTGTGGTCCAGCTCTCTGGGTTGCTTCTGGGAAGATTAGGGCAGCTAGGGAGTCATCTGTAGTATCCCGTGGCAAATTTATGTCTGTTTGTGCTGTAGGTCAAGAGCAGCTAAGAGGTTCCAGCAGAAGGATCTGCGTGGAGCCAGCAGCTCAAACTTGGTTCCCATTTCTCTGCATTCCCTGGTGCTATGACTTCGGCTTGTCCTGTAACCTCTCCAGTCCTCATGTGCAGATTGGAGTTTACTGAAGTCTAGGCTACAGGGTTGTCTTTAGAGGTCGGAATGGCAGTCTGAAGCACCCTGTTCAAACTCTGGCATAGGTCACTTAATAAAAGAGGCAAATTTGTACTAGCTCTCAGTCTTACTAGCTTCAATGCGCAAACTAGAGGAGAAGGCCTAAAGGCCCCAAACCACTTTATTACAGGATGAAAAAAGCCCCGTGTGTCTGACTTCATGGAACAAGGTTCCTCTCTTGTTTTTATTCCTATCTTCATTTCTTTAGGTGGACGCTATTAATATTTGAAGGGCTGTGCAAGCATTAATGGCTCAACTATTGTAGATGTCAAATTCCCTGGTCTGTTGGCTCAGCTCCCAGTCCTCAGCAAAGGTACTGATGAGCAGGGGGCGGGGGTGGGGGAACCCCTATGGCCATTTCTCGTCTCTAAGTGTTTTGCAATGTTCCTGCACTGATGAAGAAATGGAGGTTAGGAAAAGATTCAGTTCTGTACAGCTACTTCCTAACATGGGGGAGCCCCAGAGATGAGCAAGTACCAGGATCGTTGTGTCCTACCAGTCATGCTCAGGAGTACTGTACACACTGAAGGCAGTGGCTCTCCCTCGCTGATGTAAAGTGAAGGCCTCTTGCTGAGACACTCAGCCTACCTTGGCTGCAGAGGATCAGGACTGAATTAGAGAGGTCCAAATCTACTTCCAGCCCAAGCCTCAGGTCTTCTATCCAGATCCCCCCCCCCCCCCGCCCCCCTGCTTGCTGGAAGCTGCCAGCCATGCACAGCTAATGCATATCCCATTCATCTCTTTTCTCTGTACACACTCTTGCTTACCCAGGGGCACCTTCTTCCTGCCATGATTTCACTCTTGGGAGGTGGACCAGATCCAATCTCTGATCACACACACACAGGTTCCACCTGCTTCCTCCTGCCTCCCACCCCATCCTGCATTGTGCCTCACATGACAGGTCTCCTGAGGCTTACCTGCCTCCTCACCTATCCAGCTTCTACTCCAGTCCAAGGCAGATGCAGCATGCCACACCGTTCTGTGGGCATGGGCTGCTCTATACTCATGAAGAAGGCTCTTAATCTATATCCATTTGCACACTGGCTCCTCACTCTTTGGCTGCTGCAGGTCTGAGGAGTAAGAGAGCACAGGAAATCCCTACAGGAAAACTCGGAGGGCATCAGAGCTTGCCTGGGTTCAGGTGCCTCCTAGTTCACCAGAACAACGATTCTCAACTTTCTTCATGCTGCAGTCCTTTAATACAGTCCCTCATGTCGTGGTGACCCCCAACCATAAAATTACTTTCCTTGCTACTTCATAACTCTAATTTTGTTACTGTTATGAATCATAATGTAAATATCTGTGTTTTCCAATGGTCTTAGGTGACCCCCAAGAAAGAGCCATTTGACCCCAGAGGTGTCATGGCCCACAGGTTGAGAACCACTTTTCTAGAACTTCTAGGGACCTTTTGTCTGCTTGGTGGACAAAAATTGAAGACTGGACTACCTCTGACTAGGAATTCAGGATTCCAGGTGAGGTGACATGAGTGGCCATGGGACAGAGTATGAGAGTATGGCTGGGTTGGAAAGGCTCACAAATGACAGTGCTGGCAGGGTCCCTGTGTGTGTGTCATAGACAGGGTGGCTTCAGGAAGCAGAGAGGCATGTCCTCTGCTCAACCTTCTTGCTCTTCGTTTGGCTGACTGCCGTTTATCCAGAGCTCCAGAGTCCATGCCGGGCAGGCCCTGTGGACTGTCATCTGGATCTCTCCTGAACTCACAGCTGTCCTATCTGCCAATCAAGCTGCATGAAAATCAAGGTCCTGGATGCTGTGGGATGGTCTGTATGTCAAATGTGTTGCTGATTTGTCAATGAATAAATCACTGATTGGCAGTGGCCAGGCAGGAAGTATAGGCGGGACTAACAGAGAGGAGAATAGAGAGAACAGGAAGCTGGGTGAGAGAGACACTGCCAGCCGCCATCAGGACAAGGAAGATGCAAAGTACCGGTAAGCCACAAGCCACGTGGCAAGGTATAGATTAATAGAAATGGATTAATTTAAGCTGTAAGAACAGTTAGCAAGAAGCCTGCCACGGCCATACAGTTTGAAACCAATATAAGTGTCTGTGTTTACTTGATCGGGTTTGAGCGGCTTGGGACTGTGGGCCAGGCAGGAAAACTTTAGCTACACCTGGACGAGGAGCCCTTTGCATGTCTACAGCACCACAGTCTGGTCTCTACCTCCTCCATTACCCAACCTTCACCAAGGTCTTGATGGGCCACTAGAACACTTGTGTTTTTATTTTGTAAGGGGTGTGTCAACACCATCATTTACCGCTTGAATATGCACTGAGATCTCACACCACTGCTCTCCTTCTCACTTCTTCCTCTGGCCCCTCTACTGCTCTTCAGGTTCCCAGGACATAATCTTCCTGGGTCTGGCAGACAGGCCCTTCTTATTCTGGCTTCTGTATCTCTGCTTACCCTCAGATGTCGCTGTTCCATGGCTGTCTCCTTCTCCCATGCAGGCGTCAACCCCAAAGACACCTCTGATAGGCTGTCCCTGTCCTCCTAAAGTATATCTCCCTTTCTACTGTTTCCTTTGATGTCCCCTGGCTCTGTTTGCTCCAGGCTCCTCTCAAGACCTGAAATCCTTAGTGCTTGTGCATCATTGTTTCTTATTTCTGTGAGCTCTGTAAGTCAGGATCTCTAACTACAGGCTCAGAACTTTCTCCCAAATCCCAGAAGACCCCAGTACACAGAGTCATAGGTGAAACCCTGGGGGTGCTTATATAAGTCACTTGTGAACCATTGTTCACTACTTACCTTACTAGCGAGCTAAGAGCCAATGGCCAACATTCTATCAGATGTAGCAGGATCAGTGCCAAGTGTGCCAAGTGTCTACTACATATTCAGAGACCCACAAAATATTCTCCCATTAGCTTCTTTTGAAATTATAAGAGAAAATATGACGACAATGCTTTGGTGACAGTATAATAGAATTTCTAGCTTGTTTGGCACTCATCTTTATATTAAAAGTTATAAAACATTGTATATTTAGGGTTAAGTCCACATGTCTTACCTTCAGGGAGAGCCTCCAAAGGATTAGATGAGGAGACATGGGTATCAGGCTCTGCAGGTGTAGGTCTCAGTGGGGATGGAAGGCTCACAGATTGTTAGGTAGGGCATCCTGGAGATGGAGCCCCACAGAGTCCTTCTCTGGTGAGAGCTGTCTCCATTCTTAGATATGCAGAAGGCAGACAGGGCTCACTGTGCTACTTGGAAGCTACACTATCCACAGCTCCGACTGGCTAAGCAACTTGCCTAAACCACGTGGTCAAAACCAGGACTCACGACCCCATTATCCCAATTCACATCCCGTGTCTGCCTAGGTCCAGACCTAGCATGAGGATTTGGGGTGGTGGCACCTCTTTCCAAGAAATCTCTCTCACATACACACACGGAGGATTCCTGCATCCGCCTATTACTATGAGCTGCCACCGAGGATTTGATACTGCTGCACTGGGGCTCATGCCAGCGACTTGGCTGCCAGGTGCAGCTTTCCAACTCTCAGACAGCCCCCCTTCACAGGCCCCCACTGCACCTGCTCCTGAATGAGGCCAACTCCCAGCCAAGCCCAGGGCACGCCGGCTACACTAAGCTTTGGATTTTTTTCTTGCCTTCCTCGTAGATGCTTGGAGGGGAAACAGAACTGTGCATCTTGGAACAAGTCTGCTTCTGCTAATGCAAATGTAGTCTTGGTTAATGCAGACAGACTGTCAACTTCAGCAGTCAGGAGGAGAAGGAGGAAGGGGGGATAATTTCCCATCTCAGAAACCAATGAAGAATTTCAATAGAATGCTTCGACTTCGGAAATAAGATCTTTCTGAGCAAACGGAGCCTTTCTACCTTCCCAGGCATCTGTGTGGTCCCCATGCTCTGCAGGTATGTCTCTGGGTGTCATGAGGGCTCCTTGCATGAACCATGGTGGCCTGGGTGGCAGAGGTAAGAGTCTTTGGGATTTTGATGAAGCCCTACCCACTCACTCTCTTTGGTCTGAGGGTATTTGGTAGTCTCTGTTAAAGGGATGGCTGGTCCTAAGGGCTGAATGAGGGCTAGGAGGCACCTATCCCTCCCTGGACTGTGTGTGTTTATGGGCTGGGCTCCAGCTGGCATTTCTGTAGATTGCTTTGAGGAGAGAATGTGTGTGCCTGTTTTAGTATGTATGTGTACCTTTGCAGTGATTTGGAAAACTGGCCGGAGGTCAGATGGTTCAGTGGCTATAAGTCCTTTGTATGTCTTCTTGGGATCAGTGCCATTAACTATCTTAGTAAAGAACTAAGCATAAAAATATCTAACATTTATTCAGGTCCAACTATTTTCTGGACAGTGGAGTATGTCTGAGTGCTCTTGGACTATATAGCAGGATCTCTATGAATAATCTCCCAATTTACAGATAGGGAAACTAAGTCTCAGGTTCTGGGGAAATGTAAATGTTCCCAACTACAGACAAAAGACATCCAGAAGGCTGAGGGAGGGAGGGGGTTCTGGTCAGTCTTTGCTCATTTGTCACCCAGCTGACAGTGACGTTCTTGGCAATAGACCCCACCTTACCTCTTGTCTTCAGGGACATGGCACCCACCTCTCTACACAGCCTGCACACAGCCATTCAAAGATGTTTGCCATGTTGATTCTCTATGTTCTGATCTGACCATCACCTCTTAGAGGGCAGGATCCAACTGGTGGTGAGGCCCACTATAACTGGCCCTGCATCTGGCACACTGTAAGCGACAGGTCCAATTTCAGTGGCACAGCAAACGGGTGCTGGTGTTCGATACTCATGCTGTGCACCTGCTCAGCTAGAAGTAGTGATTTCCTGGGTTTAGGGTCTCAGAAGGGACCTCAGATGAAATGAGGAGGCCCGGGAAGCCTGAGGACATTCTAGGAGAAGGGGCAGCATATGTCACACCCCTAAGCATAGCTAAGGAATAGCGAAGACATGGAACTGCTCTGGCCATGCAAGGTGACCAGGAAGGGTACAGCAAGGAGTAAATTTAGATCCCATCAAATAAGTTTATGGGGGGGTCACTGTCAGGATACAGCTCTGACTGCTGGGGAGGGGTTTGGCTGGCTCTGAGTGACCTGGCTTGCAGAAGGCTTGTAGATTGAGAGAAAATGAGGTGAATCTGCTGTTGCTAAGCCTGAGAATGGGGGTTCACTGGGAGGATTGTGGTGGGTTTCTGAGTTTGAGTGGGGACAGAGGTAGCCCCAGCCGTCCACTGTGAATTAAAGATGAAGAGCTGTAGGCATCTAAGTGGAGATGTTCAGCAGTCTCTTGGCTCTGGCAGCAGTCTGAGGTCAAGCGGGGTGGCAGTGGAGTGGGGGCTGCTGAATGGACAGCCAGGCTAGAGGTGTACGCTTCCCACTCATAAGGGACTGGCATAGAGAGTCGAACTCTGGCTTCCCATTAACCACTGCTTCCACCATCCCTATCCTCTAGGCAGGCAGTGCCCAGGTATGCTCAGCAGACACAAGGTCCTAAGACTACACACAAGAGCTCAGTGAGACAGAAATGGGTGACCAATGAGCAGTGAGTGTACCAGGGTCTAGCTCCCTGTGGGGCGGGGCATGGACATGCACACTGGCTTCCCTGCTCTGGCCACCTCCAGAGCATACCTTCCCAGCAGGGTGGGCTTAGCAGTGAGCCTCCTGCCATATGCCTCCATGTTCCCTTGTGAGTGAACAAAGGGAACTTCTCCCTGAATGCCTTGGATAACTCAAGGAGAACCGAAATACAGCATCGAAGAAGGATTCTGGCCCTGTCGTCTGTCAGCAGTGACAGGAAGTTCCCCAAACGCCACTGGGATGGTGCTAGGGAGGGTGAGTCCTAGGCAGCCGCATAGCCAAGTAGCCTTCCTATGATTGGCTAGCATAATTGAGAATTAGGACCCGGGCTATACTTTGACCCCTCACAGCCCAAATGTACTAGGAGGAGGCTACTTCCACCACTAGCTGGGGAACTTCTACTGCTGGGAGGTGGTGCAGGAAGCACCTGCCAGGGTGGCCCTCCCCCTTCCCCCCACCATGCTCCCTGTCTTAGATGAACCCTAAGCTGAGACTCTGAAAGCAGTTCTTCCTTTCTTTCATGACAGAGAGAAGGGATGAGGGTTCAGCATGTTTCCAGAGCTAGCATCATGAGGACAGGGTCTCCTGCCCAAAGATCCTGTGTCCTCTCTCACAAGGCAGCATTGTATGTGATATTGCAAGGAAATGGTTATATCTCATGTAACTCATCATGTGGAGAGGGCAGCAAGGGAGATTAAGCCATTCTGTTTTACACTTCCCGAGGCAGTCAATGCTAACTGCTTGGTGTATCTGTCCATGCCATAATCCTTTCATGTAGAAATACACAAATATGTACATTTACATACATGCATATACTCACTTCTTAAACAAGAGTGCTAACTCAACTCCATGTTTCTCTACATTTTTGTTTTCTACTTAGCAGCCCATCAAAGGCATCCCTCAAGCCAGCAGAGAGATCAGGCTCATGTTTTTAACAGCTGCATAATATTTAGCAGTTAGAGTGTATCTTAATTTAGCCAACCATTTCCCTGTCAAGGGACATCTGGATTTCTTCCCAATTTTATTTTTGCTACATTAATTAACGCTGTCATAAATGTCCTTATACACACATTGAGGAAGAGCAGTGCTTGTGCTCATGGCGCGGTGCCCCTGAGGCTGGGAACACCCGGTCAGCTTCTACCCTAAGCTCTTCGTAGTGATTGATTCGCAGCTGCAAATTTGTGAGCATATCTGTATTAGTCACCTCTTGTAAATGTCTTAGTTCTGAACCCAGCTTCCGCCATGATTATCTGCAGGCTTCTGTAGCCTTGGCTAACAGTCCTCTGTCAGCCAGAGAAATTAGTCAGTCAGCAGTTCTTGACCTAGTATGCCCGCGGAAGGCTGCCCGGGCCCCTCCCTGCCTCCCTTCACCTACCTTCACAGCCTTCGCCCTGTTGATTAACCCATCATCCTGAGAACCCCCTATGAGCAGATCCACCTTCACTGGCAGAGGCCTCTTCAACGCTCTGGCTGGAACTTCGCGTAGGTACTGGCCATCAACTACAGGGCCCCAGTAGTGGAAAGGGCCACTAACAGCCAGGAGCTGCAGGATGAGGAAGAAGGCCGTTACTTGCATTTTACTTTTACATTTTACATTACATGCATTTTACTTTTCTTTTTTAAAATGCGACAATCCCAGTCTTGGCTGTGTATAGCTAAAGCTGACGATTGTAGCCAAGAGCTAATGATTCTGAAGAGGGACAGAGACCAAAGAGGTCTCTGTGAAGGGAACTCTGCAAAATGGAACCATGTCCATGTCCATCTCCAAAACCCCATAATTTTGCCTCGGAGTATCCGCCTATTATATAACCATTAGATTGCTTTGCTTAGTGTGCTCTTCACCATGAATGCCCATGCTCCAAATCCAGTGAGCTCTAATGGAAAATGGGTAAAATGATCAGGACAACAGGCAAGCAAAACACCCTGTGCCAATGCCAGTGACTGGGCAGCAAATCCCCCCTCAGCAATGCTGGGCCCCCAGGGGACCCTCCCAGAGCTCCTCTGCTGAAGTAATAAGAGGTTTACAGGAGGAACAGGAAGAAGGGGAAGGCCTTAAAGAAAAGGCCCTAATGGTTGACTAGCCATCACAGCCCACATAGGTGAGGAGGCTGAGGACAAGACTCCAACAGGTCTCAGGGTCCACACTTATTCTTTTGAGGATATGAGGATCAAGCCTGCTCATGTCTCCTTTACCAGTATCAGGGGCAGCCAGAGACCCAGGCCGAGAGCAGTGTCTTTAGAGGTAGAAAGGGATGCCCAGCTGTTTGTCTAAGGGGCTGTGACCTGACATTGTGCCTCTATGGTCTGAGAATGGGGTGTGCCCCTTCTCAAGTGCTATTTCATTTCATCTGTCAACTCTAGGTTTCCATCATAGTTCCCACTTTGTACATAAGACATCCAAATGGCAGAGAAACTTGTCTTTCATCAGTAGCCTTGTGTGTTCCATCACAGCCTGCAGCTCCTACATGGACTGGGACTCAGGAGACAAGTTTATCTTTTAGTTGGTCATCCACTGGATGTGTAGCTTGGGTGGCGAGGGTCATCACATCTCCTTGTTAGGCCTTGGCCTTCCATTTGTAAAGACAAGAGATTGTCCCTCCATGACCTGCATGCACATGGGTGCCCACCTTGGTCTGAGCATCATTGAGGATGTTGGCAGGCTTCTGGCGGAGGCAGGACACCACTTCTTGGATGGACGAGGTAGGGCATCCAACCTCCTTTGCCAAGGCCATAGCTTGCTGTTGGGCCCTGTCTGGGCTGATGACTGCAGCTGGCGACAGTGCGGAGCCTCCCTGGAAAAAAGAACAGGGGTTAGGCTGACAGTCTGCGCGGTCTTGGCTGCTGCTTAGGCTGGGGACCCTCAGGCCTTAGCGGAGTTCTGTACCCTCTTCCAGATGCAGACATCTGGGATCCTTGGAGATCCAATATGTGTGATGTCAGGGTTGACCAATGTGTAGCAGCATGCTATGTGAAAAACTTGTTGTTTTTTTTTTTTTTAATCTGTGAAGTGAGGGGGCCAGATGAGTTCATCTCTAGTCTCACTGTGAAGTGGAAGAAATATATGGAAGCAAAGGCTGATGGTTCTGAACAGGGACCAGAAAGTCTTCTGGTAAAAGAACTCTGGAGGATACAATTGCATCTACCTCCACCCCCAAGGAGTTCCTTAACCAGCAAGGTTTCTCAACTCTAAGATATAGCTGAATATGAAAATAGATGCTCACCTCACCCCCCAAGAAGATCCCATCATTCCAGGTAACAGATGAGATATCCAAGGTATAGAGAAGTGGGTGCCTGATCAGACTTGCAACTAGACAGGGAGA